AAAGTAAACACTGTAAATCAGTAGGGCGCCATATTGCCCTTAGCATTGATGAGGAACTTTATTTTGAAAATCACTTATTTTATTTAAGTGACAAAGGTTTACCAATCAGAATTAATGATTTTAAAAGTATTGTCAAAATCTATCTGGATGATAGTGGAAAAAATATACAACAGTTTAAAGATAACCGACCAGGTTGGGAGTGGTGTAAACTTTATCTTGACAGGCATCCATCATTAAAAGAAAAAGTATCTCATTGTATTTCAAGGAAACGTGCACAGATTAATTATTGTCAAATAAAATTATTTTTTCAAAATCTAGAGAAAGAATTAAATGGAGTAACACCAGATAACATTTACAATATGGATGAAACAGGGTTTCATGATGACCCTGGAAAAAAAAGACTTATTTTTCGTCGATCCTCTCGCCATCCAGAACTTATAAGAAACACAACAAAAACTTGTTACACTGTTGTTTTTTGTAGAAATGCCTCAGGAAAACTAATTCCACCATTTTTCATTTTTAAAGGAAAACACAGTTGGTGACTGGCTTTTCAATGCACCAGAAGGATCAAGAATGGCAACTTCTTGCAGTGGCTGAATGGAAATTCAAATATTTGAAGAGTGGCTGTTAAATCACTTTGTTCCAAATATTATAAATAAGGAAGGTAAAAAAATTCTGATTTGCGATCATTTAAGTGCTCGTATATCTTTAAAAGCCTTAAATATATGTGAAAAGCATAGTATAACATTTATATGTTTGGTACCCAATTCCACACACCTTTTACAACCTTTAGATGTTGGATATTTCTCAGGTTTAAAAGCTAATTGGAGGTCAGTTCTTAATCAATGGCGTAAAACATCCAGAGGAAAAAAGTAATAACCTGCCAAAAAATTTGTTTACGCAGCTCATTAAATCTACTCTTAATGTTGGTAAAGAAAATCTTCAAGCAGGATTTAAGGCTACTGGCATATATCCATTTGTACCAGAAAATGTTCTCTCCAATTACCCAGTTTTACAAGTACAGATATTCAACTCAATATTGATTTCAATATTGAGTTGAATATCTGTACTTGTAAAACTGGGTAATTGGAGAGAACATTTTCTGGTACAAATGGATATATGCCAGTAGCCTTAAATACCCAGTTTTACAAGTACAGATATTCGACTCAATAGGAATTATGTTGATGATATTCATCTTAATTATGAAATGAGCAAAAAATTTAAGTTACCAATAACAGCAGGGAAAAGTGTATCAGCCACCAGCCAAGAGACTAAAAAAAAAAAAGTCAAGATAATATTCGAGCAAAGAAAAGAGGAAGACCACTCGGATCAAATAATATGGTTATGAAAATAAACAAAAAACTTAATATTTTACAAAGTTCAAGCATCGTAAATGTTAATCAAGTTATTGAAGACAATGAAGAAGTTTTACCTGTATCTCAAAATAATGCAGTTTTTTCATTGAAGCAAATAAACAATCACTATGTACATGTTTTCCTTGATCATGATTATTTTGTAAAAGAGTTAGTTGTAACTCAAAACTAAAAGAATGAAACACTGTAATATTTAGTTTTATAGTCAATGGTGTTTATTTGTGGAGAATTATATAAAAATAATGTCTTAATTATTTTTTTTTTTTATAACCTTAAAAATTATTTTGAGATTATTTTATTGAAAAACTTTTTTTTTTATTCTAGAAATATTTTATTGAAAAACTTGTTTGTTTAATAGTGTTCAAAGTTACCCGAAATGCGAGGGTAACTTTGAACGCCAACTTGAACATTGTTTTTTTACATAATATCTAGTAAATTTAAAAAAATGATAACAAACTAGAAAAAAGAGATCATCAGAACACCCTTTATGTAAAAATATTTGTCATCTAGTTAGTAAAACAATATTTGTAGAGATAAACCTAGCGCAAACCGTTCAAAGTTACCCGTAATGACTGTACAATAAAATATATATTGAGAATAAACAAACAAGTTTTTCAATAAAATATTTCTAGAATAAAAAAAAAAGTTTTTCAATAAAATATATCGAGAATAAACAAACAAGTTTTTCAATAAAATATTTCTAGAATAAAAAAAAAAGTTTTTCAATAAAATATTCTCAAAATAATTTTTAAGGTTATAAAAAAAAAAAATAATTAAGACATTATTTTTATATAATTCTCCACAAATAAACACCATTGACTATAAAACTAAATATTACAGTGTTTCATTCTTTTAGTTTTGAGTTACAACTAACTCTTTTACAAAATAATCATGATCAAGGAAAACATGTACATAGTGATTGTTTATTTGCTTCAATGAAAAAACTGCATTATTTTGAGATACAGGTAAAACTTCTTCATTGTCTTCAATAACTTGATTAACATTTACGATGCTTGAACTTTGTAAAATATTAAGTTTTTTGTTTATTTTCATAACCATATTATTTGATCCGAGTGGTCTTCCTCTTTTCTTTGCTCGAATATTATCTTGACTTTTTTTTTTTTAGTCTCTTGGCTGGTGGCTGATACACTTTTCCCTGCTGTTATTGGTAACTTAAATTTTTTGCTCATTTCATAATTAAGATGAATATCATCAACATAATTCCTATTGAGTCGAATATCTGTACTTGTAAAACTGGGTATTTAAGGCTACTGGCATATATCCATTTGTACCAGAAAATGTTCTCTCCAATTACCCAGTTTTACAAGTACAGATATTCAACTCAATATTGAAATCAATATTGAGTTGAATATCTGTACTTGTAAAACTGGGTAATTGGAGAGAACATTTTCTGGTACAAATGGATATATGCCAGTAGCCTTAAATCCTGCTTGAAGATTTTCTTTACCAACATTAAGAGTAGATTTAATGAGCTGCGTAAACAAATTTTTTGGCAGGTTATTACTTTTTTCCTCTGGATGTTTTACGCCATTGATTAAGAACTGACCTCCAATTAGCTTTTAAACCTGAGAAATATCCAACATCTAAAGGTTGTAAAAGGTGTGTGGAATTGGGTACCAAACATATAAATGTTATACTATGCTTTTCACATATATTTAAGGCTTTTAAAGATATACGAGCACTTAAATGATCGCAAATCAGAATTTTTTTACCTTCCTTATTTATAATATTTGGAACAAAGTGATTTAACAGCCACTCTTCAAATATTTGAATTTCCATTCAGCCACTGCAAGAAGTTGCCATTCTTGATCCTTCTGGTGCATTGAAAAGCCAGTCACCAACTGTGTTTTCCTTTAAAAATGAAAAATGGTGGAATTAGTTTTCCTGAGGCATTTCTACAAAAAACAACAGTGTAACAAGTTTTTGTTGTGTTTCTTATAAGTTCTGGATGGCGAGAGGATCGACGAAAAATAAGTCTTTTTTTTCCAGGGTCATCATGAAACCCTGTTTCATCCATATTGTAAATGTTATCTGGTGTTACTCCATTTAATTCTTTCTCTAGATTTTGAAAAAATAATTTTATTTGACAATAATTAATCTGTGCACGTTTCCTTGAAATACAATGAGATACTTTTTCTTTTAATGATGGATGCCTGTCAAGATAAAGTTTACACCACTCCCAACCTGGTCGGTTATCTTTAAACTGTTGTATATTTTTTCCACTATCATCCAGATAGATTTTGACAATACTTTTAAAATCATTAATTCTGATTGGTAAACCTTTGTCACTTAAATAAAATAAGTGATTTTCAAAATAAAGTTCCTCATCAATGCTAAGGGCAATATGGCGCCCTACTGATTTACAGTGTTTACTTTTTAGCTTATAAAATAATGTTGCTTTAGGTACTTTATAAATTTTAGACGCTTCACCAATCGACATTTTTTCTAATTTAATTTTGGCTAAAGCCTCTTGAAGTGTAGAATTGGTGTAATTAGATTTAGTGCCATATTTTCTTGTGCCAGGATGAGTTGTCGAACATTTTCTTGGCATTTTATGAATGCTAAAAATATAAAGATGATTTATGTTATTAATGAAAATTATTTAATTAATCGCATATTTGCTATTAATAAAATATATTATTTAATTTATCAAGATAGCCATAAATATCAAAAATTAATATATTAGTAATAGATATTATAATTTTTGATATTTATAATATCATATATCATTATATAATAAAAATACTATAATAAAAAGATGCCTATTATTTATTATGTATTATTGCAATGTTACTCAGACAGCAAAAAAAGCATTTTTGGAAAATATTGATTGTCTAAAGTTACCCTGAATTTGGTTATATTTTAGCTAAGTGGAAATAAATATCTTTTTTGTAGCAAAAAACATGTTAAATCCTATTATTTTGAGTTTGTATTAAAGTTCAAAAAATAATTCAATAAAATACTTAAAAATCTATTCAGATAATTACAATATAATACCAAATATTCTAAATTGAAAACATACGATGTTATCACCACATTCGACTGTGTAACTGGAAATGGAGGAAAACATTATTTTTGAGAAATAAAATTTAATTTTCTTTGGTCAAACTTTTGTAAAAAAAGATAATTCATCGTATTATTCTTTGTTAAAGCAACAGGCAAAGAAAATACCAAAGAAAAAAAAATTTAAAAACATTTACACGTTTAGTTCAATGTTACCCGCAAATTCAATGTTACCCAGAATGACTGTAACATTTTAGTACTATTATTAATTTTAAAAACGGCAAACTTCAATTTTAAATCTAAAAGCTTTAATCAGATTAAAAAAAAAAACATTGAGTTTTTTGTAGAGTTACCTCTACACATGGTTGAAGATGCGTTTATTGGCAAAGGCTCATTTGCTAAAGTTTATGAATTTTATAAATAAACATCAATTCCCTAAATCACAAATGTTTTATATGTCAAATCGATTCAAAAAGTTGGATCATCCAAATATTGTTGCATATATTGGCTTTAATTTTAGACCTACAGCAATTTTTTTTGACTGCTGTTATGTTCTAGTAGAAAATACCGTATGCCATTCATTGCCTGAGTTATTTTAATTATATGGAGCGTTTGCATTACTGTTTACAAGCAGCAAATGGAATAAAATATTTGCACGACTTAAACATTGTGTATCATGATTTTAAGCCTTTAAATATTTTAGTTCAGGGCACTTTAAGTAATATAGTGATCAAACTTTCTGATATTTGTGACCTCGCTATAATGAAGGAAACAATGGCAACAAAAACTAAGGTAAAAGCTGGGTTTGCTGGTTTAACTATAGCTTATCTTTCTCCTGAAATTTGCAATCGAACTGTAAATATTGTCACTAAAGAGTCACATGTTTATGCAATGTCATTATCTTTTTTTGAAATTATGTCAGGATTAGGCTTACCGTGGTAAAATCACTTTTCTATTTATACAGATATTCTTTTAACTCAAACTCTTGAAAAAGGAGAAAGATCAGACACAAGTCTTATTTCTAAAATATATTTGGAGTCTGACACAAGATCTTTTTGCTTTTAATTTTTTGGGGTAATCGAGGCAAAGATTTTTATGCTTGGGAGCATTTTTGATAATTGTTTTAAATTATGTATTTATATTGTAAAAATGAAAGTGTGCTCTAGCTCCAATCAGATTTTAATTTATTTCTTGGGGTATCACCTTAAAAGATATGTTTAATGTTTCTATCTTAATGTTCTGCTGCTAACAGTTACTTAGTTAATTAAACGCAAGTAGTGGTTAATAATATAGCGTAACATTTAGATCACTTTCTCAAAGAGAATTCAATGGTGTATGATAACGTTAAAGTTTTATTATTCACCTATTGTTTTCAGATAAATAAGCTGTGATCTGCTAAAAGTCTTCACACCGCCTAGGACAGGAACCGTGAAAGGCAACCCAGTTTATTTGAATTCACCTATATTATTAGTGAAAAATCTTTTCACGTACCTTATCTTTCTTTGGCACCCTTTGGCACAAATTGTCTCTTACCCTCTTCATCTCGGCGCCCCTTAAGCTCAGACGCATATGTTTTATTACTTTAGAACAAACTATTAAAAACTATTAAACTATTAAAAACTATGCCAAAAACTCGGGTAAATACATATTGCGATTAAGGAACGCAAATTACAATGCCGAAAATCAGGGGCAATGGAAAAACTTTACGTTGTTAAATAACCAACTTATTTTAAAAATTAAAGTAAACTTACTAATTGGTTTTCTTTGTTCCAAGTTGTCTTCTCACTTGAGAGTCTTTTTTATAGCTATTAGTTTATGACAAAAAGAGTGAAAATCAGAGTTTCAATGAGTTTAACCGAATGAAATCATTTCTAAAATACGCGTCTCAATTATGTAGAAATTTCCCTAAAAAAAAACAATTTGGTCTTAAATTTTATTAACATAAAATGTAAAAATACCAAAAGAAATAGCAATAGATAAATACTTATTTAAAAAAATTTAGTAAATTAAAAACTGCAACTAATTTTTTTAAAACCTTATCTATGGCAAGTACATGGCCATTAAACTCATCTGCACATTTAAATAAATTCTAAAAAAATAATTAAATACTATATATCAATTATAAAGACATTTTATTTAAATACAGGTCAAAACTTTTATTTCCCAGTCTGTGTCAATATTACAGTAACTTGATTATTTATAAATAAAAGTCAATAATTCATTTGTGTGTTTAAATATAATTCTGCCTAAACACCTAAAGCATATTAAAAAAAAAGTGTTTTAAATTTTGTTTCTTTTAAATCTTTATCTAAATTACGCAAATAAAATTAATTGAATTAATTTAAATACTAAGTTAGGTAAACAAACTGGCGTGTTCTGGTCTACTTTTTTTCTACAGTTTGTTACAGTTTTATTTCTGTAGTTTCAACATTCTCATCCTGAAATAAAAAAAATACTTGTGTATATTTTTATAAACAATTTTTTCTGAGAAAAAAATTAATTATTCCACAATGAACAAACCATGAACAATTTAGATGTTGATACACTAAAATGCTGAAAAATTAAGTCTAAAATAAGCTTTAACAGGGCTAAAAACAGAGCTTTTCACAAAATCGAACCTGGCTAAACAAACACAATTTGCAGGGGTTACTAGCCCGGGTCGGATTTTTTATTTTTATTTATTTTATTTAAATATTTTTGTTTATTCGGTTCAAACTTTTAATAAAAGTTAACAAAAATATATGAAAAAGTCATACAAATAATATATCATATATATTATTTCTCCTAATTACATACCAAGGACAAAACAATTCATAAAAATTTACAAAAATAAGAGAGGGGGTCAATTCCCTCCTTCAGTTTTTAGTAGCCCCCCCCCTTCCTTCTTTCATGATGGAGAAAATGCCCTGAAATTTTTAGGAGCTCGTTATAATGATGATGGTGATGATGTTGATAATGATCATAATGATGATGAATACTATGATTTATAAACTAAAAACTTATAAACTATATCATAAACTAAAAATTGGTCAAGATTTAAATTGAATATTTTTTATATTTAATGAAAATATAGTTTAAAAACCTTTTGATAAAAAAAGAATTTCCAAAATTTAGGTGAAATCCCAATATGCTCCCAAGCTTAAAAATCTTTGCCTCGATTACCCCAAAAAATTAAAAGCAACCGAAGTAATTACTCAAAACCTACTGGTCATTTTAGCATGAAATTTGGAGCATTTTTTATTCATGGTAACATAATTGATTGGAGAGAAAATAAATGAAAACAAATAAATATTTTAGAAACCATGCATAAAACACTAAAAAGTAGACGAGTTAAACAACACTAAAATAGCAAAATTTCAAGATCTAAAGTGCATTGAAAAAAAATCTGATCTCTAATGAAACTTAATAATATGAAAAACAATCTGTGAAAGTTTCAGCACTTTTGCACAAAGTAACTATTTCACAAACTATATATTGTATATTGGTTGCTATGGCGTTGTTATGGACATTACTTGGTTGATAAATAATCCTAAATTATTATTACTCAAAGTTAAAATTTTGCATTAAAATTTTTGTATTATGTGAACAAAGAAATAATGAACAAATTTTTAAATTTTTTTTTTTTTCAAAATTGACTTATTTCTTGGGGTACCACCTTAACGAGGTCATTAGTTAATTAAAAACTACCAAAATAAGGTTGAAGACAAGAGACAAAACATCATAGAATTTTTTTCATTTGACATTTAAGACAATTACTATGAAAACGCTTTTGTTATTTTTCTAACAATTTTGATGCATTACCGAACCTCTCTTATAAACGATTGTTATCAACTATATTTTATACGCTTTAGTTTCCGATTGGTATCAATTTTTATCCATTACTGACACACGTAGGTATACGGCACTATGCAAAGAATTTTTCGCGTATATAAACAATTAAAATTTCTATATAAGGTTAAGAAATAACTAGTGAGCTATATTTATTTTAAAATAATTACAAGAACTACTGTTACAACTACTTTTTAAACTAACAATTTCGGTGCATTACCGAACCTTGCTTATAAACGATTGTTATCAACTATATTTTGTACGCGTTAGTTTACCTTTAGTGTCAATTTTGATGCATTACTGACACACATGAGTATGTGGTACTTTGCAATTAATTATTCCCTTTTAAAAATAATCAAAACTTTCTACTAAGGCTAAAAGCCAAATGCTAACTTTATTCATTCAAAAATATTTAAGAAAACTGCTGTTAAAACAATTTTTTGGTTTAGTCACTTATTTTGATGCATTATCGAACTTCGCTTATAAACGATTGTTATCAACTGTATTTTTTACGCGTAAGTTTACGTTTGGTATCAATTTTTATCCATTACTGACACACGTAGGTATACAGCACTATGCAAATAATTTTTTGCGTATGAAAACAATTTAAACTTCTAAATGAGGTTAAAGGTCATAGACTAACTATTAAGCTATAATTATTTGAAAATAGTTACAAAAACTACTGTTAGAACTACTTTTTATAAAACTAACAAATTCAATGCATTACCGAATTTGGCTTATAAACGATTGTTATTAACTATATTTTGTACGCATTAGTTTACCTTTGGTGTCAATTTAAATGCATTACTGACACACGTAGGTGTACGGCACGATGCAAAACATTTTTCGCGTTTGAAAACAATTAAAACTTCTAAATGAGGTTGAAGGCCTTAGACTAACTATTGAGCTATATTTATTTGAAAATAGTTATAAAAACAACTGTTAGAACTTTTTTTTATTAAACTAACGATTCCGATGCATTACCGAATCTTGCTTATAAATGATTGTTATCAATTATGTTTTGTACGCGTTATTTTACATTTAGTGTCAATTTTAATGCATTACTGACATAAATGGGTATGTAGTAGGTAGACTAAACTCAAATGAGTATGTAGTAGGTAGAATAAACTCAAATGGGCCAACCTACCCCGTGGGCACGTTGGCCCACGGGGTAGGTTGGCCCATTTGAGTTTATTCAAAAGCTAGACGCTTTAACAAGCTGGAAATCTAAGTGAACGTTGGTAGTAATTCAATCCTTTTTCCAAAAAAAGTCATTTTTAATGGACCATATTTGAGTACGTGGGACCATTTAAATAATTTTCAATACATCAAAGTAAATTTTAAACAAACTGTTTAACGTGTTTATACTCACTGACGTTTGACAGTAGAGCATTATTCAAGTGCCATATTTAAAGCTTATAGTGTAAGGATGCAACCGGGGCAAGTTGGCCATGGGGCCAACTTGCCTTTTTATATATATTTTTTGTATATTTTTAAAATAATTCGGATAAATTTGTGACGAAAATTTTTTTTTTTTTATAAAGAATATAAAACTTGTAAAACATATTAGATCAGAACTAAGCCTCATAAACAAATTGGCATTTGTTTTTATACGTTTTTTTTGGTTTACACCTGTGCATACACCACATAAAAGTTGCACCAGTTAAAAAAGCCTTGCAACAGGAACAGAAAGCAGCAAGAGAAAAAAACAGAAGGGTTCAAAAAATAAAAAACTATTTTCTATCAAAGAAGCCGGTCCTGTCAGTCAACCTGTAAAAGAAAAACGTAACAAGAAAAAGAGAAAATAATGAGGAAGATGTTTTGTGTCTTAGTTGCTTCAAACCATTCTCAAACAGTCTTCCAGGTACTCTGTGGATTCTGTGTTCAAGCTGTCAGTGTTAAGCCCATGTGAGTTGTTTAGAAAAAGATGCAAAGGGGTTAGATTATAAATGTTTATTCTGTTGTTAAATAAAATATTATTGTTATATCTTGTTTTTCTTTCATTTTTTTGTAGTTTATTGATTTGAAGTTGTTTCAATTTTGTTTTATCAAGCTATAAGTTGTTTGTTTCATCAAGTTGGAAAGTTCTTTTTGCTCAATGAGCGTTTTCCACC